AAGAAACTTTGTCAGCCTGAACATCCTTGTTGAGGACAAGAGTTATCAGCTTCTTTGTCCATACATTGATGGGAAAAGGACCATCAGGCAATACGATGCCAAGTCCAGAAAGATCAATCGCATGAATGTACAATAGCTGATAAGAAAAACACAAGCGTCATGGTAAACACAAACAAGAATCAGACACAAAATGACAAAGAAATGACAAATGACAAAAGAGAAGGTAAGAGGAAAGCATCGTCACTTACATTGTAGAAGAGAAGGCAACCCCTGGTAGGCTTGCGTTTCAACAGCGCCTTGTGTAATTCATCAGCAATAAATTCGGACCAATTGAGATTTTTAACACCATTGATGTCACGCTGCAAGTTAAAAAACAGAAAGAAACTAAAGTTCACCGAATGCACCACAAAAAAATATGAAAGTTACCACACTGACATATAGTAAAGTTATCAGGCACACAAGAAAGAAAATGACATATTTACAAAAAAACTTAACAGCACAGCATACCATCGGGGGCTAACTTTGTTGGAGGTGGTCGGGGCAATGACTGTATTCTCCGCAAGCAGAAGCCACATATGCTTGAAAGTATCATCAGAATTTTCAGAACCCTTTATGAGATCAACAAGATCAGTCATTTTAGGGGCATATCCGAGCTCTCCAAACAACTCAAGCCCTAACTCAATATCAGCTTCAGATGGGAGGTTGTAAGGGACATCATTCCCTCCACACGGCACACCCATAACACGATGCATGTATTCCTCATTGACCGGAAGCCTGCCTCGGCCTGGTACGACCACCTCATGCGAATTGGGGTCATAGAGATCAGCAAGCCACACACTGAGATTGTTAAACAGATGGTCACATTGGATATTCCGAAGGCTAGTTAAATCCATATCATCAATGGCACCCTTCTTGTCATCATTCATGTCCTTGCATGCTAAAAGAAGCAAACTGGGTGAGGCTCTGTTCCGCGGAGCAGGGCGTTTTGCCTTTTTCGAAGGAACCTCATCGATTCCATCACCATCTCCTTTACGCTTCCTCGGCATTTTCTCCCTGACACGTAGGGAAAACAGCAAAGCGAATGAAACCATTAGATGACTTTGAAAAACTGATATCACAATAAACTGTAACATTTATAAAACCAGTGTTTGACAAAGCAATAATACGGCTGATAAAAGGAAACAAGCAAACTGCAATTGGTCCATCGCACATGCTAAAAAAAGTAAAAAAGATAACACAGGTATATAAAAAGCATGTGTGACTGATAATTGAGGCACAATGCAATTGGTAAGTTACAACCAAATTACCAGTGATAAGAAATAGCATTCACACATGTTCATTAATAAACCAACCAAAACAAATGAATGAGAAATCAGCATTGTACTACATATAGTTAGTATAGAAAAACTTCTGGTAACTACGGTAAGATGACAGTGGTAAGTGTAAAACCATCACCATGATAATTCAACCATAACAAGACAACACCAATAAATAACATAGTTTAAGCATCTGGTAATTTGAGTGCAATATCGTTGGTAAGTTCAATATACACATCATGATAATTGAACAGAACAAGACATAACAAGCAAATCAAGCATTGTAAACATGCTAATTGGAGCATCACAAAAGCCTAATCAATAGACACACCGCATCAAACAAAACCAACATAAAACAACATTATGTGAAAAAACTTAGGGTTGCTTTTTTAAATCCTCAGCTGCTGATGCACAACTTGAAATCCATAAACACCAAACATTATTGGATGTCCTGAACAACCACATCCACAACAGTAAAACCATAACAAAATCCTTATTAGAACCGACCGCACTTACCACCGCTAAGACCTATCCACACCCACAATACAGAGCGGGGCGGGTGGGTGGGTGGGGGAATGGGGGGATGCGTTGCTCAACGTCGACTCAGAAACTAGAAGCCGGCCTTAATCTAACCTAATTGGAACAACAAACTACCGGATTCGAAGACTCCAACCTAAATCAATGGCGGACCGGCGGCGGAGCAGAAAGAGGAATGAAACAGGGGTGGGGAATGCGTTCCTCACCGCAGATTCAGCCGCCGTGCGCCGCGAACCAGAACACGCCACCACCAGCAACCGTCGCACGCGAGGGGGAGGGGAGCGAGAGGAGATTCGAATGGAAACGCCCGAAGCAGAGGAGGAAGAAGTACTGCAGGCGAACAGGGAGAGGGGGCGAGTGGGGATCGTGCGCGCATTGGGCGAGATGGGTGCTTTCGAGTGGACCCACAAGACAGCGACAGAGAGCGAACATAACGGCTATCGCCACCCGTGCTGCGCGCTCCAGGGGCGACGCGGGCCGTTGGATGCGGATCGAACGGCTATCGAGTCGTGCGGATTTGTTGCAAACTGTCAGTCGGCAGGTATTTAGCTTCTCGTTTAGAATAATAGTTTCAAACTCAAACAGTGAAACATGTGACTTCATGCTCAAGCTAAACTCCTGAGGGTTAATAGGATTGACATCTTACTATTGTTAGGAAAACAACAAGTGCAGACTTGGAAACAAGGGGGAATAGAACCCGAAAGTTAAGCGTGCTCAGGCTGGAGTAGTAAGAGGATGGGTGACTGGCCGGGAAGTTAGATGATTTGGAATGATGATGGGTGATTAAAGATTGGAGGTTAAATTGAGCAGTGATGAGGGGTGATTAGAGATTAAACAAAAAAATCAAAAAAAAATCCGTAAAAATAAAATTCATCGAGTTACCGCTCAAAAAAATCATCAAGTTTACATAATGTACACTTCAACAATCAAGTTGACTTGTTTTGAGATAAATCAAAAGATGCTTGATTAATTTCTCCGGGGGTATAGGTCTGTACTGGCGTCCTAATTAGTTGCATGTTCATTTGTTTGGATATTAAAGTTCTCACATAATTTGTGCGTTGTGTGAGAGTTCGTACTATAAAAGTTGTGCCACCGGAGCCACCACCGCTGCGCAACCGGAGCCACCAGAGGCTAGCCTGCCACCGGCCCGACCAGGGACCACGCCCCACAAGGCAGGGCAGGGGGGGCACCCGCCCCGACTCGTCGCAAAGGAGCAGCCGGGCCGAAGACCAGGCGCCCGTCGACGGAGCTTCCACGGCTACCGCCTGCGAGAGCCGCTGCCAGAGAGCCGTCCCGCCGGAGAAGGAGGCCCAGGGGCCCGCCGGCGACGCAGCCGAAGCCCCTGACCGGATACATCGAGCGACGCAGAAGAGGATCGAGCCTCCCTACCCAGAGCTCCCGCGCCCTGACGAGAGGAAATCGCCCCGCTGCCGTCGCCCGGGCTTAGCCCGACGGCCTCCTCCGTTGACGGCGAGGGGAGGAAGGGGGGGCGGGAGGGCGGCGTGGCTAGGTTTTAGTTAGCAACAAAGCGCTTGTCACATAATTAGCTTTCTGGTAATTTTTGGATATCTTTCTGGAAGTCCACACAACAAATCACATTCATTTCTTCAGTAGTTTTAAGGCCGCACGATGTTGTGTTAGTAACAGACAGTTTGGGATATGTTTCTACAGTGCTCAGTGAAAGCTAAGCCATGCAAGTTTTTTTTAGAAAAACAGGGCCTTGCCCTGACTCCACTTTTTATTAGATGAAACCAAATCGTCCACAGAACCAAGGTGGAGCACTCGAACCACATGACACATATGGTAAGCAATCCAAACAATTTAAAAAAAATGAAGAGCACTCGAGGTAGGCATAGCCGCACATGTACCATACCCAGAAATGAAACGGCAAAGCAGAACAGGCCTCATGGCCGTTCGCAGACAAACAAGTTCCCTGCTTCCCTACTGGATCTGCCAAACATCAGGGACAAACACAGGGACTATGCCTCGAAAATTAACAACCGTATAAAGAGAGCTGACACTATAAATCCCAGAGGAAGATAGCTTCCATATAAGGGCATCCTCGTCCCCAGAGAAAGAAATAGATCTAACAATACTGGTCAGGTCAAACCACTGTTGGCGGAGCCTGTCATCTACACATCTTCTGAAATTTAACTTCAGGTCCACCCCATCCCAGGATCAGCAAGTTTGTTGATGGTATTTGACTATTTGATGAGTTGCGTACCTGCATACGCTGTATGGTTGCTCAACTCAGGGAGTCAGGCAGATTGCTGGAATTTTGGCCAAAACCAACTCATCATATGTTGGCCTGGGTTCTCAGTTTCCGTTTTGTCTGAATTGGGGAACAATCCATGTGTTCGCGTGCGTGGCGGAATTCAAATTACGTAATGGATCAAATCAAATAGAGTAGTAATTTGTTCTTGGTTTGTTGAAGTTTTATAGCCATCTCTGAAAAAAGCAAAACTGCGATTCCGATATCGTTCCTGGCTTCCTGATGTTTCGTGTGGTGTACACAAACAGACATGCCATATGAACAGATGTGTTCTAGTATGTAAATCCGTCGTAGTCTAGGTGGTTAGGATACTCGGCTCTCATCCGAGAGACCCGGGTTCAAGTCCCGGCGACGGAAGTGCAATTTTTTTTGATTGACTGGCCATGCAACCGAACAAAGCAAGAGACTACTCTCCTTTTGTACTAATTCAGATTCAGATGATATCTTTGTGCTCGAAAATTTGGTGAGAAAACAGCAACACGACCCCTGGTTTTGCTCTCTCATGGAAGAGGAACCATGGGCCGACCGCACATGCATGCAGACACAAACATTGACATCGCTAAAACAAATGCAGTAGCTACAGAAATTATGGAGTAAGAAAGTCTTTGACCTCTGGAGCGCAAGACTTCAACTCCTTCCATTGACCCCTCCTCCCCTCCTACAAATAGCTCCCTGCATCTCACCACTGCAGTCCTTCTCTCCTCTGAAATTCGCATTCTTCTGTTCCGTCTGTAGGAGGTCGGAAAGGAGGGATCTACTATCTAATTAATACAGATTTTTGCGTTGTGTTCTTAGATTGCTGCCTCCCCATTGTTTCTTAATCAGTGTTTTCTTGATGGTGTTTGCTTTGTCAGGTGGGAAGAAGCTCGGAAAACATGGCCGCGATGGGTGGGCACCAGAGGCTGATGATGGAGGATGCGGCGGAGGACAAGTTCCCGGAGGGGCTGCGTGTGCTCGCGGTGGACGACGACCGCGTCTGCCTCAAGGTACTAGAGGCCCTCTTGCGCCGCTGCAAATACAGCCGTGAGTCTCTTGATCCCTCCACATCGCCATGGTCCATTAGATCAGAATCGGAGCCTTGTGATATTTTCGTCTCTCTGTGAATAATGCTCGCTGCTATGCAGCAACGACGGTGATGGATGCCAAGACGGCGCTGAAGATGCTCAGAACGGGGAATGAGGAGTTCGACCTAGTCATCACCGACGTGCGCATGCCCGACATGGACGGCTTCAAGCACCTCGAGCTCATCGGCCTCGAGATGGATCTGCCCGTCATCAGTATACACTCACTACTCAACCCGAAGTCCTAATTTTATTTTCGCATGTACAATTGTTTTTAAGGAGTACTTTTACTCCAGAATCTTGAAGATACACTGAAACGGTATGTATTCCTTTAATTGGGCAGCATGTGAGATCCTACATTTTTAGGAGGATTTTGTGAAATCACATATGCACAGCATGCACACAGTATTTTTAACTTTGAGAAAGTCTAAAGAGTGAGGTCCCCAGAATGAACCAGTGGGATCCCATCTAACCGTTCATCCGCTCGATCGGATGGCCACTGGGGTAGCAGAGCGGAGGTGGATCGACACATAAATTAGGAGGGGGAGCGCAGGATCCATCATGCATACAATATGTATGGGTAATCTAGCTTAGTAAGAGTACGTATCACTCCAATGCAATGTAGACCCCCACTATGTACGTGTTCGATGGGTGCATTTATGGACATTATTTAATTTTGTATTATGTAAATTGTGAAATCCTAGTCATAAGAACTAAATCTATAATATATCCTTTTTCCATGATATGGCAAAATTATGTTTAATTATTTTCTAAGCTATCTTAAATTTCTAGTCTTTCCAATTACAGAAAGTATACAATTGCACCATACCTATTTTCTATGGTGGCATGAGTAATACAATTCCAAAACCAGAAAAGTTGTATTGACATTATTCAAGGATTATTCATCTTTAATATCCTTGAGATTGTTAGTAGTTAAAACTATCTACTCTTGAGAATAGCATATAAAGTAGGAGTGTCACTTCTAAGAAGATACATTGAGTAGGTCACCCATGTATCATATCAAAATCGTGCAAATTTGTTGAGTCTAAACTAGAAAACTATTATGCTGTCACATTATTTTTGAAAGAAAGTGCAACCACAAATATTTATTTTTCTAAATTGTAATAAAATCCCCATAGGTTATATCGCTTACCATATAAAAACTAATATGTGTGTGACCGCTTAACATGCTCAAAACATTGCTAGGGCCGACAATTGTTCACTAGTATGCTAGAGAAACATGGTCAACAATATGTAATAGATCTTGTGGTTCACCAATAGTTTGATGTGGTGATCTGATTTACCTAGTTGGAACATGTTATGATGATGGTTTAGGCATCGTGTTACAATTATTTTTTTACAATTGTATTGAGTGTGTGAATGTTTTCCCATTTAGTTTGCATTGAAACACCAGATTTATCGTAGTCATGATATCATTTGAAAATCATGTGTAACATTTTTGCTTCCCCACTTGCACGGCACATTTGGAAAACAACGAAGCCATTTTTCTGTCTATAAGCACTCGGACAAAAATTTATGCTCAGTTAATAGATTTTGTTGAACGTTTGAATTCCAAAGCTAAGTTGTTGGTCGTATGGCATGCAGTGCTATCGGTGGATTGCGACAAGAAGGCCGTGATGAAGGGGATAAACCATGGGGCGTGTGACTATTTGATGAAGCCAGTGCAAACCAAAAAGCTCAAAAACATATGGCAGCATGTTGAGAGTAGGAGAAGATCCCAATCAATAAGCCACATGAGTAGGGATAATGATGACGACCAGAGAGTACATACTGGGACTCTTGCCAAGAGTAAGGACTCAAAGAGTAAGAGAAATGATGAAGATGGTTCTAATGAGAACAAAGAGAGCACTCATGCATCCACTACCCAGAAGAAGATGAGGGTGGCATGGACAGCTGAGCTTCATAACAAGTTTGTAGAAGCTATCTACCAGATCGGCCTTGAAAGTAAGAAAACATATGTTGCGCCTCATTCATTGACACAACACTTTGTGGTTATTTGATATTATTCGTTAACAAATATTTTTATGACATTTTTTGTAGAGGCTGCTCCAAACAAGATATTGGAGCTGATGAATGTGGATTACCTCACTAGACATAATATTGCGAGTCATCTACATGTTTATTTTTATTCCTTATGCTTATTTTCGATGTTTGCATTTCTATTATTCATAGTCTAACATTTTTTCATGTATATAAGTGCAAGCCTTTATTTTGTGGGAACATAACAATCAAAGCTTTAGTAATGCACGGATCACGAAGATGTGTGTTATTATAATTCCTTTTGTCCCGGGAGATGTATGGCTTATCTTGTAAAATGCATGACCCACACATTCTATTAGAACCCGTGCAACACTTTTAGTTTTTCTTGTTCCCACATGTCATCCATTATTTTTTTCCCATGAGCATGCATCTCATACATGGTTATTTTGTCTATATTTTTATTTCAGAAGTATAGATTGTACTTGAATAGAGTCAAATCAAATCCACTCGGTGATGCAAGTGAAAGACAAAACTCATCCATGGGGAATCAAAGGAATTTTATGCATAACCATGAGCATGGAAGATGGCATGTTTCCTCATGTGGCAACCCCTCCTGGAGTCCAAATTATTTCGGTGCAACTAGTCAATTAGGCCAGCTGACGGACAACCAGAGCAACTTGTGCATGGGGTCGTTAATCCATGGTGGAAGAATGTCGAGGTATTTGGTTCCAAACACACCGGATGCGAGAAGATTTGCCGATCCCGAAGACCCTCCCATTAGCCTATACAATGGCATACTCGATGACATAATGTTAGATGAATTTTCCTCGTGTAGCTCTGGTACTTCCTATGTTGACTCCATGCGTGGCAAGTTGATGGAGAAAAGTAAAGGAAAAACCCCATCAAATCTTAGAAGTCACTTAACAAACACATCTGGTGGTGGCGGGAGCTCGGCACCCACAAATGAGTACCAGATGCAACCTCTCGAGTCTATTAACCATTATCATACCCACATGAATGCACCTTCTACACAGATGCTTGGCATAGTTGGTAGTTGTTCCAATTTTCTAGGATTTGTTGGGAACTATAATAACCCCCGATGGTCTTCAATGCAGGTAAACTTGACCGGTATTCTTCATAGGGGTGGAACATCTCATGTCCCGCCACGTGTGAACATACCAACGATCAACCAATTGACAAGCTATGAAACACCATCTAGCGGAATGTTGATGCAAAATCAATTGCCACCATTCATTAGCAATACCATATCAGTGGCAGGTTTCAATGGAAAAATAGTTCCATTCAACATACCTACTAACCCAAGCTCTGTAGGTGAAAGATCGTGGATGTTGCCTAGAGGGGGAGGGGTGAACATGCGCTTGAAAATAATTACGGTTTAGGCTTGAACAAATGCGGAATAAACCTAGCGGTTAATTTATCAAGCACAAAACCTAAAACAACTAGGCTCACCTATGTGCACCAACAACTTATACTAAGCAAGATAAGTAACTATGTGATAGCAAGATATATGACAAAAAACAATATGGCTATCACAAAGTAAAGTGCATAAGTAAAGGGCTCGGGTAAGAGATAATCGAGGCACGCGGAGACGACGATGTATCCCGAAGTTCACACCCTTGCAGATGCTAATCTCCGTTTGGAGCGGTGTGGGGGCACAATGCTTCCCAAGAAGCCACTAGGGCCACCATAATCTCCTCACGCTCTCGCACAATGCAAGATGCCGTGATTCCACTAAGGGACCCTTGAGGACGGTCACCAAACCCATACAAATGGCGACCCTTGGGGGCGGTCACCGAACCCGTACACTTTGGCAACCCTTAGGGGCGGTCACCGGTACCCGTCAAATTGCTCGGGGCGATCTCACTATTAGGAAAAGGGCTATAGATGGGATGGACACAAATGGCACACTCTACATGTGGTGCGCCATTACTAAATACTAATGGCACACCATGTGTTGGTGCGGCATTAGTATGCAAATACTAATGGCGCACCACACCCCACGGTGCGCCATTAGTATTTTTTTTCAAAACTACTAATGGCGCACCGTGGGAGTGGTGCGCCATTACTAGTTGAAACTAGTAATGGCGCACCACTAGTAATGGCGCAACACTCCCACGGTGCGCCATTAGTATTTTGGCCCAAACATTCCCCCGAATGCAACCCACCCCCCCGGAGCACCACTAGTAATGCCCAGAAGCTTGTGACGGACCCCCCACCAGAGGGCAAGGAGCACCACACGCCCGAGATGTATTATAGGAGTGTGCTGAAGGGCGCCCACATTATTGCGGGTGAGTGCTCCAAAGATGTAATATTTGAGTAGACTCGCATTTTGTTATCCTGTGCGCTGAAAACTTGGTTCATATGCACTAAGCAACGCTTGTTAATTTAAAATATACCTTTTGTGCGGCTGTTTATCAAATCTGAGAGATGGCAAGTCGTCGGCTTCAGCCCCCATGCCACGAGTGCTGGGGTGTTCGGGATAAATTTGGGCACTCTTGTTCCCATATTTGGGTCCATCGAGGGAGGCGCTCAACACAACGAACAAGGCAACCGGACTTATAATGCTTGAACACTTTCACTTAGCCATATAATTCTATAATTTTAAATTTTGGCGAAGCCCCTAGTTTTCGGAAGGCCGAATTTGGGGCGCTATCCACGCCTTGGCCGGACAGAATCCGGCTCCTTGCTCGAAGCGGCATAAGTCTTTAGGGACTCGCAAAGAACCTCTCGAACAGCGACCAGCTCTCGCCTCATCATGACGGTCAGTTTTAGCTTTCTCCACTGAGGCGTTAACCCAGCTCAACTGGGGCGCAATCGTAGTGGTTCTCCTAGTGCTACCTTAGCCGATAAAATGGAACGTAAGGTACCAAAACATGGGAGCCGGGCAAACCCAACTATTGACCCAAGAACATGATTCGGAGCCGATGCATATAATGCTATAAGTTCGGGGTGCCGCACTTGTGAAAGTGTTCGGACTTATCACACCATAACGCGGGAGACATAAGCCCCTGGTGTATTTAGCCGTACCAAAACGTACGAATGCAACATGTCATGGATGAACATATGTGTAAGAAAGAAATGCAATTAGAAGCAAAAATGTGTTGCATTGCTTTATTCAAATAAAAACTGCTGTTAGTGCAGGACGATACAAGTGGTGCGGTAAGCAAGGGATGGGACTGTTTAACATGTCCCCCTCCAGGGGTAGGCTACGGAATAATGCATAAAACAGATTTAATGCTCATAATGGAGACCACCTGGATTTTCATTGTAGCCTTTCTCCTTCCCTGGCTGTTGTATCGTGGGTTCGGCATGTCTACTGCCGGACAGGGCCTCTGACGAACAGAGTCATGTGGGTAAAAAATAAAAGGAAAAGAAAAAGAAACGACGCACTTAAGAGCCCTTGGTGCGGTTGATCCGCAGTTTGGGATTATTGTGGTCGAGCCCCTTGCCCCATGCCCATGGTATATTCAGAGCGTAATGGAGTACGCGAAGGGTCTGTCTTAATGTTTTACAGGGGCTGGGGTTGGGGCCGCACTGCTACGCGTGCTCGGAACGTGCCAGGTGGTCGTGTTGTAGGTTACTCCGGGCACGCTTAGCTGTGTCCGGCCGCTTGGCAGCCGGACTCGACAATTGCCTTAAAAGGCTGCTTTGTACTTCTGCCGCGAGAGTCGCTGTATGTTCCTCCGTTCGGAGGGAGCGTTCAGTGTTTCCGTTGACCGGGATGACTCCTCTAGGGCCTGGCATCTTGAGCTTGAGGTATGCGTAGTGCGGCACCGCGTTGAACTTTGCGAACGCGGTACGTCCGAGCAAGGCATGATAGCCGCTGCGGAACGGGACTATGTCGAAGATTACTCCTCGCTTCGGAAGTTATCCGGGGATCCGAAGACCACTTCCAGTGTAACTGAGCTTGTACAATTGGCTTCTGCACCTGGTATGACGCCTTTAAAGGTCGTCTTGGTAGGTTTAATCCTTGAGGGGTCTATGCCCATTTTGCGCACCGTGTCCTGATAAAGCAGGTTTAGGCTGCTACCGCCGTCCATCAGGACTCTGGTGAGATGAAATCCATGGACGATTGGGTCTAGAACCAATGCGGCGAACCCACCATGGCGAATTCTGGTGGGGTGGTCCCTTCGATCAAAGGTGATCGGGCAAGAGGACCATGGTTTGAACTTCGGGGCAACTGGCTCCATCGCGTATACATCCCTGAGTGCACGCTTCCGCTCCCTTTTGGGTATGTGCGTGGCATATATCATCTTCACCGTCCGCACCTGTGGGGGGAAACCCTTCTGTCCTCTATTGTTCGGCGGTCGGGTCTCTTCCTCGTCGTCGCTGTGTAGCCCCTTGTCACTATTTTCGGCAATTAACATGTATCTGGCACAAGCGGTCAAGAATTCGGTCCAAATTGGACAGACCCTGAGTTGTTCTTTTGAATGGCTTTTTCCGTTGACCGGGTTTAGAGCCTCTGAATCCGGCATTGACTGCCGTATCCTCACTGTAATCGCTGTTATTGCGGCATTTGTTTTTGTTGCGACGCGACCTGCCACTGCGGTCCTTGATATCCGGACTGCCAGAATTTTTGTTGAGGTTGTTGCTGCGTGCTAGCTAGCTGTCCTCACCCGCACAGAAGCGGGTCATGAGTGATGTAAGGGATGCCATGGATTTCGGCTTTTCCTGTCCCAGGTGCCGGGCAAGCCACTCGTCGCGGATGTTATGCTTGAAGGCCGCGGGGGCCTCAGCATCCGGACAGTCGACGATTTGGTTTTTCTTGGTTAAGAACCGTGTCCAGAATTGTCTGGCCGGTTCGTCTGGCTGCTGAATTATGTGGCTTAGGTCATCTGCATCTGGTGGTCGCACGTATGTGCCTTGGAAGTTATCGAGGAATGCGGCTTCCAGGTCCTCCCAACTCCCGATTGACCCTGCTGGCAAGTTGTTAAGCCAGTGCCGGGCTGGTCCTTTAAATTTGAGTGGGAGATATTTGATGGCGTGGAGATCGTCTCTGCGGGCCATGTGGATGTAGAGGAGATAGTCCTCGATCCAGACCGCGGGGTCTGTTGTGCCATCATAAGATTCAGTATTGACGGGTTTAAACCCTTCTGGGATTTGATGATCCATTACCTCATCTGTGAAGCACAGTGGGTGTGCGGCGCCTCTGTACTGGGCGATATCGCGACGGAGCTCAAAAGAGCTTTGTCTGTTGTGTTCGGCCCGGACGGACTTACTGTGTCCGGGGTGACGGTGATCGTCACGTATCGTGGGGCGCCCACGTGATCCATAGATCGATCTTGATTGTCTTGCCTTATCCTCCAATATGTCTCGCAGGTCCGGAGTGTTCCCCTGTGGCCTTGTGCTTTTCGAGCGATGCCGGGGTACGGGTCTAGTAAAGGGCCTTAAGGCCTCTCTGTCGCGACCACGGGGTGGTCGATCAGCCGTATTGTCTCCTGGTGAAGCGGGATCATATGCCTCCACCTCTAATCGGGGGAGCAGCTTACGTTTGGCGTAGCTTTTGGAGGGGCATTCGAGTTCATGCTCTTCGGCCGCAAGGACTTCGGTCCATCTGTCGGCTAGCAGATCTTGATCAGCTCTAAGTTGCTGCTGCATTTTCTTGAGGCTGTTCGCCGTGGCCATAAGCCTGCGTTTGAAACGCTCCTGTTCGACGGGATCCTCAGGCACGGCGAATTCATTGTCGTCGAGGCTTGCCTCGTCTCCGGAGGGAGGCATATAGTCCTCTACCTCTTCTTCGGCCGCTCTCTCATGAGGGCTGGCGTCCCCCTCCTCCTGTGTTGGATCTTGCTGGAGTGGGTTTTCTTCGGCGCTGTCCGGTGTATTATTGTCTCCGGTGCCAGAATCCTCATTCTTGCTATGGCGGGATTTAGAGCGGTGCCGCTGACGCCGGCGCTTGGGCTGTTTTTTGGAGGGGTCATCCTCCGCTATTCCTTCGCCGTTCCC